TTTGTTCCGCAAGGGATTGCCTTGTGGTGTGGTGATTTCTGGTGGTAATGAGGATGATGTACCAAGGATACCAGCTGATTGTTTTTTTTTTGCTTCTTTTTTCAGTTTTCCTATAGTTTTCTCAAATTTTGGATAAAAATCTAGTGGTGTACCTGTACGTGAAGATCTTGACATACAAACTATTAGCAACATCGTGTCCCCAACAACGACATTAATTTGTTAAACCGTTGTTGTGTACGATTTAAGAAAATAAAATATTCACTTCTTTGTTGCACTAATGGGTAGCACAGGCAAGCAGGGTCGAATCCTCATGGACACAGCCTTATGGCCAATGCCTCTTTGCATAAGGCACATACTAGTCTTAAAATAGAAAATTTAATAAGGGAGATTTTTTATGTAAAATTAGAAACTAAAAGAGTAGTGAAATAAACTAAAGAAAAATCAATAATAATATTGAATTTAGTTCTACTGCGACTTTCCTAATCATGCAATCAATCTAGGCCCAGTTATTCAAAATATGTTCTATCTAAGTTGGCACTGAAAACTACTAATAAGCTCTAGTAAATTATATTTTACCTAATTAGTTAATCAAAACAAGATCTTCAATTAACCCTAACTTTTACTTATCTAATTAAACAAGCTCTTAATTAAATTCATAAAACTGCATTAAGATCTGTGTAAAATTCACAGCAATATCCAATACTTCTCACAAGCTTGGAAGCGTAAAGATATGAAATTTTAGTCTATAATAAAGTCAAATCCAAACACATAACCGATTTATTAATTGTTACTTAATACTATATAGTCAAAACAATTATGGATTTCAACAACTAATCAACTAGGATGATTAAACACTGCCTAGATGATCAGAATAACAAGAATGAAAATCAAACATTCATTAAGCGCAAAACTGAGATTACTAAATAGAAACACACAATGAAAACAAAATCTTGTGATTAACCGCATGAAAAGTACTAATCTTTTGTAGAACTGAAAACTAGTGTTTTAGCCAGATATGGCTAAAATCGAATTAAAAGTAATGAAAAGAAAAACTAAATGACTAATCTTACTAAACTAAATGTATGAGATGATCCATAGCCTTCAGATCTTCAGAAAGTGATGAAAGGAGCAGAAATCGCCTTCAGAAGGGTTTTTCGTCGTCTGGGATCATCTAGGCTTCAAACTGATCAGAGAGGTCGAATTTATATACATGCAAGTAACTTCCAAAGCAAGAAAGCGAAAAATTCAATCGAATTTGTAAAAACACAATCGATTTTTTTCTACTTTGATCAAATTTGGAATTTAACTAATTTCTGACGAATTTCTGAATCTCAAACCATCAACACGGTCGAATTTTCAAGGAAAATTTGATCGAATTTTTGATAATTCTTCCTGGGACTTCAAAATAATTCAATCTCTCTTCGAAGCTTTCACACGATCGAAATTCTAGTAAAACACAATCAAAATTCTAGATTTCCACACAAAATGTTCATTTTTCGATGACCAAAACAACTTCCAAGCATTCCTCGACATCCCTCATAAGTTCCATGCTCCAATTTAGGCTCTAATGCTCCATCAAACGCATTCAAAGGTGCTCCTAAAGTACAGCTCCACTCGAGTTATCTGAAAATGGCATCAAAACATGAGTAGTATGGGAATTCTATCGAAAGAAATGAGTTTAACATTATTTATACTAATATACACGAAATAACATATAATATGTTGCTAAATGCTAATAAAAAATATCCTAAAAGATGCATAAAATACAATCTATTAGTAAATATGTTGTTTTTATTGGTAGATAAATATAAGTAGTGTTATTTTTGGTAAATAAAGGATGTATGATGCTATTGTTAGGAGATAATGCAAGTATATTGTTGTTTTGGTATAAAAGAGTATGTATGTATGTATGTATGTTGTTGTTGTTATTATTTGTAAAAGGAGTAAGTACATTTCTATTGTTAGTAAGTAAATGGAAGTATATTGCTATTTTTGTTCATAAAATGATTTCCTTTCTGTAACATCCCAAAATTTAAGACCAAAATTTTCATTTTTAATTAAGTAATTTATAAAAACCTTATTCTGAAAACATTCATAATGTCATCCCATGTCATAATGGAAACCAATAAGTCAATAACAAAACAATTCATATGAAAACAATATCAGAGTATAACTCCCAAATATCTCATGTGCGGAAAATCATAGTGTGATGTACTGCGGTCATGTTGGCTCATTTCCTTTCGAAGGAGAAGTACATGAAACCAAAACTGTAAATCGTAAGCACGAAGCTTAGTGAGTTCCCACATCATACAACATAATCAGATATTGTCAGGCGTATCTGGATGTCTGGCCTATCCTTTCAGGCATATCTAGGTGCCTGATCTACCCTGTCAAGCATATCTGGGTACTCGACCTACCATGTCAGGCATATCTCGATGCCCGACCTACCCTCCGGTGTATTTCAACCGGTTACAGGGTCTATTCCACCCCTACCACTACCACATAACAACATAGCATAACCATAATGTCAAACATATCTAGGAGCCCAATCAAAGTCAACGCTCCGAGTTGACTCAACCTCTTCGAGTTTGTCCTTCAACTCCTCGAGTTCCCATGAATCACAGAATCATGAAAACCCAATCCAACTCGACGAGTTTTCCTGCAACTCGCCAAGTTCTTCCCTTTAACAGGATCGGGATAGTTCGACCTAACTCATCGAGTTCTTCAGTCAGTTAGCCTTTCTTAATGCATTAAGTCGCCATTCTTCAAACCAGGGCCATATCCTGTGGATCTAAGATGGAAATACATCTAGAAGGGTAAACCTCTGACTAAGCATAAAACTCAAACCCTAACCCAAAATGGCTTAGATCCAACTCCAAAGGCCATCAAAACTTCAAAATATACCATGAGGTCATAGATCGGGACTCAAGAGACGATTTGGTCACGTAAAGTTCCCATCTTGCGCGCATGCATGACCAAAAGAGGGCTTAAATAGGCCTTAAAGATGTCTAGAAGTTGCATGGGACTTCCATGGCCATAAAGTTGGCACATTTATGCCATGAAGTCCCCTCAAAACCTTAGATCTAAAGAGTTTTCCCACATGGGACGTCCAAATCCCAATAATCAACATACTTGAACCAAAAATGAAAGAAAGCATCCTAACACTAGATCTAAGCATGTCATGGACAACGTTGAAGCTTTATACCTTAGATATACAGAAATGAAGCTCAACTTCTGGATCTACTTTCTTACACGTTCTTGCTCCTTTTTCAAGCTTACCAAGAAAGCACAAGATTAGCTCACAAGCACCAAAAATGGCTTAGGGTTTCGAGATTAGGGTTTTGGGCAATGAAGGCTGGAAATGAGGCCAGCTTATGGGGGTTAAGGTGTTTAAATAGGGTGCAAACCCCGGAAATTAGGGTTTCACCTCTGCCAGCCTACTGGTCGAGTTGGGGCCTCCCAACTCGTCGAGTAGGTTACTTAAGTCACGCAGGTCATATGATCTCTACTCGACGAGTTTGGGGCTTCCAACTTGTCGAGTTGCTCTTTTAAAATTTAATAATTAATAAATTAAATACATACCAGGAACCAGGCATTACACTTTCTATTATTAGTAAACAAATGTAATTGTATTGCTATTTTTGATAAAATAAAATAAAAAGTACATTGCTATATTTGGTAAATAATTAGTTATATTGTTAATTTTAGTAAAAAATTGTGATTATATTGCTATATTTGCTATGAGAAATTAAATTGATTCCTATTTTTTATGCCTACAAATATGTCTACCCAATAAAATTATGACAAGTGTCATCTTTCCATATTTTTTAAACTAAATCATTAAGACTATATTAGGAATATATCAAATACAATTAAATTAAATGGTGATTTGTCATAATTTTAGTGGGTAGGAATAATTGTAGGAGTAAAAGGTAGAAGGCATGTATGTGATATACATGTTGCTATTTTTAGTAAATAAATGAAAGTGTATTGCAATTTTTTGTTTAAAAAAATGAGTATGTTGCTATTTTTGTAAAAAAGAATAAGTATGTTGCTATTTTTGGTAAATAAATGTTCCTATTATGCTTTCTACTTTTCTGATATGTGATCATATCCTCCTAATTTATGTTCACGGTTAGTTATTTAATCGTTCTCATAGTTAACTATTATAAGTATTTTTTTTTTTTTTTTTGGCAAAGAATTTTAATTACATTGCTATTCTTTAAAAAAAATCCTTACATAACCCACTTTTTGCAGGTTATGCTAGACAGCTAGACAGGAAAATTATTGGTGTTAACTCGACTTGTTCTTACTGTTCTCCACTTTGTTACTTTTGAGATAGAGATTTTAGGAGCCTCTCCGTTGCTGTCTTAATTCTTTTTAAAATCCTTCGTTTTGTTTTACTATTATAACATGAAGTTTTTAATAATTAATTAATATTATTTTTCCTTGATTATTTACAAATTTTTCAGATGCTTTGCTATATGCCATAGAATAACAGAAATTCAACTTCTTTTTAAAGGTAACAATTCGTTTGGTAATATAGACTTATGTGCATGAGTAAAAATTAGTATTTTCTTGTTATTGTTTATGTAGGAGATACATTGTTGGATCTTCATAATCCAAAACAAATTGTGTGTGTACTTTACTATGGCTACCAACACAAACAATCTACAAAGAAACACATGAATAACCAGAGAAACAACACCTTCCACCAAAAACCTTCTAGTTTCTATTAAGCATGATCGATTAAGCTATTAGAATGATTGTACGAAAGGAAATGCAACTTTTATTCTCCATTTACATAGCAAACCAGACCATCGTTGTTACAAATATGCCAAGAAAACACTATAGCTCAAGAATAAGCAGTTTTGGACAAAGCTATAGATACATATATGCAAAAAAAACAAATTATATCCCCAATATAGTTCATTCTTGTAGAGTGTCGCATTGCAACAAAAAGTCAATGACTCATTTATTCTATAACAATACAATCTTTATCATTGTAAACATACCAAAGAAAATAAAGAGACAGATCTGGGGATCGGAGGCATGTTCACATCCAAAACCCCTTCAAGAATCCGTTCCACCAAACTCATCGAAGGCCTACTGTCTTCCTCATCTTGAATACACCAACACGCAACTTTGCAAATTTTTATGACTTCTTCAACACTAGCTTCCCTCTTTAACCTACTGTCTAACAAGCTAAGGATATCACCTCCCACCATAAGAACATTCGCAACCAAACAAGGGAAGAATAGACTCCTTGAATCTTCAGATTGCTCTGCATTTCGCTTACCATATACTAATTCAAAAAGCATCATTCCATAGCTAAAAACATCTGCTTTAGATGTTACAGCCACCCCCGATAACCATTCTGGTGCCAGATATCCCCGTGTCCCTCTTATAGTCGTTAAAACGTTACCAAAGTCTCGACCAACAAGCTTTGCAAGACCAAAATCTGAAATTTTTGGACAGAATTCAGCATCTAAAAGAATGTTTTCAGGCTTTATGTCACAGTGAATGATACAGTCTCTGCATTTCTCATGAAGATAAACCAACCCTCTTGCAGTTCCAAGTGCAATCTGATACCTCGTTTCCCAGTTTAGAAGATGTTTTCCATGGAAGAGACGGGTGTCTAAAGAGCTGTTTTCCATGTAATCATACACCAATAACTTATTGTTACCTTCTGCACAGAACCCACGAAGACGAACAAGATGAACATGTTGAATGATACCAATTGTGCTGACTTCGCTCCTGAACTGTTTCTCTCCTTGGCTGATGCTTTCAAGCTTTTTCACTGCTACAATCGATGAATCACACAATACGCCCTTGAAAACGCAACCAAAACCACCTCCTCCTAATATATCTGAGAAATTTTTTGTAGCCGTTTGTAAATCTTTGTAGTCAAACACCACCAACGATCCCTCCATTGTTGTCTTTCCCACCGATATCCTCGTTTTTCTATAGATTAAAACCAAAATTAGACCCAGGGCAAAAACAACACCTCCCACGAACCCAACAATAGCACCCACCATAACCAGATTACTCTTTTTAGGATGATTAAGATCTTTAGAAGCAACTTTGATGTAAATTGTTTTCCTGCTATAATCGTCTAATGAGAGATTCAAGAGGTCTCCATCCCAAATTGAACATTGATTATCCACGAAAGAGTAAGCATTACATGAGCAATTGTTCGAACATGTGGTACGACATTCTCCCGCGCTCCCACTTTCCACAGATTGATTTGGAGGCAGATTCTTGACTGCAATCATGAGAAAATCAAGCTTTTCCACGTTTCTCCGACACTGTAAATCGGTTTTTCTCACACACCCACCTGAGAAATCACTCTGAATCCAATCACTCTCTGATCTAGGGTTGAAGCCAGTCAAGCAATTACAGAAAGGTAATCCAGATTGGCTGCAAATCCCAAAAGCCCCACACGAAGCATAGACCTCACACTGCGTTCTTGGTTGAGACCAAAATAAATTCCACTCTTTGGTAGTTTCCAACCATGTTAGTTGCTGAACTTGACCAGAAACATCTATTACAAATCTAGACATAATGGAAGAATTATACACGGAATAAGTGAAGTAACTCTCGTTTACATTCGTATGGTAGCTGAAATTATAAATGTAATTCAACCTCATTTCAGGAACTAAGTCAAACATTTTCCCATTCCAAGCCCCACTTGTCCAATATTGCTGGGAGCTATTCCACTTGCTTACATACTGGTTATTAAACGGATGAAGCTCGAAAGAGAAGAGTCCTACAGCAGGATCTTCTTTGCTTCTCCATGATGTAAGAAGTTGGCTCTTTTTGGTTCTATTATCATAAGCAAGTTTAGCACCAGGCAACCAAGTATGAGTTGGGTGATCAAAGCTTTGCCAAGCAGATTCGACCGAATTTGAACCATCTCTCAAGACTAAGTTGCCATCATCACGAAGAACAGCTATTGCAGATTTCAAAGTTGTGGTGGTGGTGACTTTCGTGGACCAAATCTGGAATTTGGACTCATTTAAGAGCACTAAGTTAGAATCGATGATTTTTAATTCCGATTGGAATCTATCTGAGATGGGTGTTTCTCGGTTTGCCACCCAAACTATGGTGGGAGGATTGGAAGAGGCCTTTTTATACCAGATGCCTATGTAATACTTGGATGAGTTACCTGCTTTGAAGAAACCCAACTCGAACACTTCACCTTCGGATATGATCGTTTGGTCTCCAGAAAGAGAGTGATTTGCGGATATAGTGTTGGGTCCATATGATGATGAGAGACTCTTGGTCAGAGAGAAACACAAGAGGAAGAGAAACCTTGCTAATCTCTTACTTTCTTTGAAACACATGACATACAAAATTTGAGAAGTATTGGGTCTATAGAACTGACGTTTGAGCCCTGTCGTGAACTTGTTAAGCCGATTGGAACTTGGAATAAAAATTATACAAGTCAGTCAATAAGTCAATATAAGTTGAAGATAATCTTTCATGAAAGACTTTTGAAACTTTCAAATAACTTTAACAAAATTCAAGAAATTGGCAGTGGCATGGTTGATCAATCACCTACATGTCACATGTTTGATGAGTCACATCCACATAGACAAATGCAAAGTCTAAATTTCTATATGGTGGGACTTGACATCATTACTTTCTCCATTAGGTCCAAGCAGATATTACACCAGGGACTAAACTGTGCAAGGACAAAACAAACATTCAACTACAACCCACATAAACCATCCATTTTTTAACTAGATAGAGCTTAAAAGAAACGCTGTTCATACAATAATAACTTTGATTTGCAACCCAAAATCAACATTAACTAGATTAAACTCATACAGTAATTTTGTACAACTAAACATAGTTCTTGGATTTTTGGTTCGGGTTCGGACCAAGCTCATCCGGTTGAGGCGGGATGCAAGGGTGGGGGATTGGGGTTGGGTGTGGGTGTGGGACCATTTTTATTTTTTTGTAACAATAAAAGTGTTTAAGTTAATTTGAAATGGGTAAAAAAAATTATGAAGATAAAGTAGTCTTTTCAAATTATTGAACCGTATCAAATCCATAATAAAAATAAGCCAAAAGGATCGTATCCACGATGTTGAATGTCAAACTATATCCAAAGAAATCAAGATAAAATTTGTAATTTTCTCTGGTTTTAACTTAATCTTGAAAAGCTGGTATACAGCGGGAATATCATAGTTTTTAAGGATGATATGACTCGTTTAAACTTTAACAACCTTGATAAATTTGTGGAAATTTGTGGGGGTATTCTTAGAAAATATGACTCGTTTAAACTTTAACAACCTTGATGAATAGCAACTGTTATTTTTTAGTGAGGGTATTCTTAGAAAATACGACTCGTTTAAACTTTAACAACATTGATGAATGTGTGGAAATTTGTGATTTTTCAAGTGCATCGACTCGTACTTGGATTGAAGTTGTGACATATGCACATCTTTCTCTACCATATAGTACACAACTTAATGCATAGGAACACATAATACTGGACGAATGAAAGGACACTATAAAAATGTTTACGTGTATCAAGGGCGAGACATGTGCATAAGAACATTGCCGAAATCAAAACTTCAAAACAAATAATATAAACAAATTTTATGTGGTTCAAATTATGATACATCAAAAGTCTAAACAAGAAAACCAATATTAGAAGTTGCATATTAAACACTTGTGTGAATCCAATCTCAAACTAGGATCTAAGAGTTTTTGCAAAATGTTTTTGAAAAAGAAATCATAATAAAAGAGTTGGGTTAAGGGCATGGGCTCGATCTCTTGCCATGTTCTTGCTTGATTGTTGGCTTGGGATCGAGAACGTGGACCTTGACTTAACTTTGACTTTTAAGGAGGATGCAAGTGTACGATCAGCCGGAGCTCGCGGATAGACCCCAAAATACCTTACGGATTATTTGATTTATGTGATATGTTAGAACAACATGTTAGTACTAGGCTAGGGATCTTCAGGGATTGCATGATAGAATTGTCTGATTATATGATGCCTGATATCCTAGGGTTTTTCCTTGTATGAAATTGACATCATTACTGTAGTTGCTTAGTGTATGCATCACGACTGTACATAATTAAGATCGTATAGCCTTAGAATGTTTGGTTTGACCTTATCTCTTGTTCTTGTTTTATGAAGGGCTTAGGGTAGGATCAGGTATTCGAAAGTCTATAGGGTCCAGTCGTCCAACGTTATGTTTGGCTAGCATACACGAGTGTTGCAGGGTTGATGGAAGTTTCATGGGTAGGCTGTGAGAGTTGGGAGGCCAGTTACGAGATATTTAGCATTCCTCTAGGAGTAAGGATTGAACGTTCTCTATGTTTATGCATATTGTTAGGGTGTTGTGGTGATACTTGAGACAAATATGGGTAGGTGTGAAAGGTAGTATGGGCCCATAATACTGAAAGCACAGGACCCATACGCGTAACAAGGAAGTCACAACCCCTAGGGTTTGGTTGGGAGTTAGTTCCCCATTATTATATGGGTTATTAGAGATCTTCCTGATGTCAGAATGGTGGTTACGAGACATCTTGAGACCGGATCCATATCAGGACCGGGAGCTGGCAGCCAAGATAGGCCAGTATTGTTAGAGTTCGTGTCAGTGAGATCATTTGGGAGGAAGTGATCGAGATTGTCCGGGGACAGTTGACGGAGATGTTTGGGGCTATCAAGACCGCTATGGTGGAGTATTTTGATGAGCGATATGCAACCCTCACTGAGGTAGCGGCAGCTATATCGACGGCATGGTTGGGAGCCGGACAGGCTTTTCAGTACCGGGACTTCGGCAACACGAAGCCCCCTACTTTTGATGGGACTCAAGACCCCATCAAATCCATGAGGTGGTTGTTTGACGTGGAGGGGTGTTTCTTCGCGTGCTTGTGTCCTATTGACCAGAAGGTCAGACGTGCCCTGAACTTGCTGAGGTCCGGGGCAAAGGACTTGTGGAGACTGATAACTGGGTCTTATTCGGATGACCAGAGAGTTGCGGTTACTTGGGAGTAGTTTCGGGATATGTTACGTGCTCACTACATTCCACAGGTCGAGTGGGAACGGTTAGCTCAGGAGTTCTGGAGTTGAGACATGATAGTGAGACAGTGACGAAGATTACCCACATGTTCACGGAGAGGGCGATGTTCTTCCTGGAGTTTGCCTCTGAGCAAGCTCATATGACACGTTATCTAAGCATGCTCAAGACTGACATCCGTTAGTATGTTGCTACTCAGCGGTATGATACCCTGCTAGATCTACAGGAGGCCGCTAGGCGGCGTGAGTTGGAGATTGAGCCGCAGTTAAAGGAGCAACAACGGGCCCTGTCACAGTCACAGTCGGTGCTAAAACGGTCTAAGACCGCTAATTCGAGAGCAGGGGGATAGTAGGGCCGCACTTGTGGCAAGTGCGGGAAGAGTCATTCAGGGGTTTGTAGATCGGGTAGCGGATTCCGCAAATGCAGCCAGGAGGGGCATTTCGTGAGGGATTGTGGCCAAACGTCCGCGGTTCAGGATATGAAGATCTGCTACCACTGTCATCAGGTTGGTCATGTGAAGACCAAATGTCGGCAGCTCGCTGCTAGGCCGGTGCAGGCTCCAGCGCCGGCTACACTGAGTATTATCGATGGGAGGCAAGGTAGAGCAGGGGCCCCGAGGGCTCAGGGACACACCTTCCAGCTTACAGTCAAGGAGGCTAGAGCAACACCGGATGTGGTTGTTGGTATGTTTCTATCCTTTGTCTCCTTTTATTATATATGTTTTATGCTTATATGTTGTACCTGTGATTAGGTAAGTTTTTATTGAACTCCTTGCATGCATTGGTTTTATTTGACTTGGGGGCAAGTTGGTCATTTGTATCTCAGGTATTTAGTAGGGAGTTCAGTGTGCCAATAAGAAAGCTAGAGTGTCTGTTGCGAGTCTCTATCGCCAACGAAGATGGGGTTTCTGCTTCTTCGGTCTATCGAGGATGTGAGTTGGAGATCTTTGGGGTGTCTTTCCCGATCGACTTGATTCTGATCCCCATGAGGGATGTGTGTGTGATTGTGGGTATGGATAGCTTAGTCGTTTCAGTGCCATGATCGACTGCGAGGGTCAACGAGTAGTGCTTCGAACCCCATGTGGGGGAGACTTGTCTATGGCGAGGGTACCAGAGTGGGATCAGGGTTTTGTTTAGCCGCCAGGGCTAGACATTATATTCAACACGAGTGTGTGGGTTACCTAGGTATGTGGTGGATATGCGGGATAGGGATCAGATTTAAGTTTCAGAGGTTCTAGTGGTTAGGGAGTTTGCGGATGTGTTTCCGAAGGAGTTACCAGGGATACCTCCGGAGAGGCAGATCGAGTTTTGGATTGACCTGATGCCATGTGCAGCCCCTATCACCAAGGCACCGTACCGATTGGCGCCACCAGAGATGCAAGAGTTGTCATCATAGCTACATGAACTGTTGGGCAAGCATTTCATTCGCCCGAGCAGTTCTCCATGGGGAGCATCGATCCTCTTCGTCGGGAATAAATATGGTTCGCATCGGATGTGCATAGATTATCGGGAGTTGAACAAGCTGACGGTGAAAAACCAATATCCACTCCCGAGGATAGATGATTTATTTAATCGGTTGCAGGGTGCATCTTGGTTCTCTAAGATAGACCTGAGGTCCGGGTACCATCAGGTCAGGGTTAGGGAGGAGGATGTGGAGAAGACCGCGTTTCGGACTCGTTATAGACACTACAAGTTCATGGTGATGCCGTTTGGGCTCACCAATGCCCCAACAGTATTTATATACCTGATGAATCGGGTCTTTAGACCGATGCTTGATCGCTCGGTCATCGTGTTCATAGATGATACAATGGTATATTCCAAGACCCAAGAGCAGTATGAAGAGCACCTACGGGAGTTATTGGGAGTTTTGAGGCGAGAACAACTATATGCTAAGTTTTCGAAGTGCGAGTTTTGGTTACGAGAGGTTCAGTTCCTAGGACATCTCGTTAACCAGGAGGGGATTTTGGTCGATCCGGCCAAAATTGAGGCAATTATGTAGTGGGAGGTTCCGAAATCTTCCTCAAACATCAGAGGTTTTTTGGGATTGGCAGGGTACTACCAGAGATTCATACATGATTTTGTTGGATTAGTGTCTAAGTCCATAACTATTTTGGTATGTACTTGACCCGATGGTGCATGGTCCTTTTGGGTTGCCTTCACCAAAGCAACTTGATTGGAGAAATGAATAAAGAGAGAGAGGATAATATGATTTATTAATATGTTAT